CGTATGTGTAGGTGTTTTATGCAATTCCTGATTAACGTTAAATAAGTTTGCTCAATACACGTTAACTTCCGTGACGTGACGGTGCAAGGGTAGAAAACAGGACGACGACGCTTCGATTTTATGCGGTAGCGCTGATAGAATCACCTGTTCAACGCGGTGGCGGCGGCGGCGGTGCCGCGGCGGGAAATCATTTGAATTACAAATACCTGCTCGATAATAGAATAAATGTTATTTGGCCGAAAGCCCGATTAATCTGAAAGTTCGGAAGTGGCGCATGTCCCGGCTTCATTGTGCGCTGCAAAACTCATTTCCCACTTTGTTAACAGCGCCGCAGGGAACGGGACCGAGGACGTTGCCTGGGCGCAAGATTGGCTTCACTAATTCGAAACGAAAACTTTCTCCGCGTTTTTCCGCCTGACGACTCGAAAACGAGTTATACATACATATAACCACAGCGCGCCGTCGCTCTCGCTAAGATTATACGTGAAAAATGTCACCGCATCGTCAGGAGTAAACTGTGAACGTTTATGCAGATCCACAATTTTTTCCGAGACAGTTAAAAGTTAAAATGGAGATATGAAAAACTGCTGCGATTCAACTAGCAGGGAAACAACGTTTAAGCCCGCGTCACTAACTTAGAATCTACGCCCTCGTGTCGTTTCACGTTCAACGTGAACCGGATGCATGTTTAATCAGGTTTGAGATATTCTTTCAAACGTAGTCAAGTTTACCCTCTTGAAATTACGCTAGAATTATTCGTTAAAATTTCACGATCCAACGTCGAAGGCCGACGTATCGACCGTCGAGAAAGGGGGGGGGGGAGGTTAGAGTGGACGGTGCGGTCCTGTGTATTTAAAAACAGACGATCAATGGAATATTTTTATTCTCCCGGCAGGATCGCCGGAGGCGATCTTTTGTCCGGGATGGTCCAGGAAATTCCTCGGCCATCCGGCCCTCCTTTTGATCCATTAATAGGAAGCACACTTTTATCGTTTGTCCCTGTGTACATGCGCCGGCACATAGGGAAAAGACGTCATCCCCCGACTCGGAAGGGACAATTTCACCAAATGTCACGGTCCACTTGCCGACTTTCGTATTTTTACGGTAATGCCCACTTAACGTTCAGGTTCTTATCATGAACTACCGGCGATAAAACGCGAACATTGTGCGGAACGGATACGTGAAAGTTGAACGGGTGTCCGTACCCTTTTCCTATAACGCCTACTAATAAACACAGACTGAGAATTGCTATGAAGAAAAGCAGTTTCTAAATACAGTGACTCATATTCTCACAAAACATTATGTTGTCTGGTTCCATATGAAAAAAGTTATTGTATTTTGAAGTGTGTCCAAATGTTAATATGAATCATTGTATATTTGACAATTATAAATTTCGTTTTATACTAATGTCACTATTTCAATAAAGCCATGGAAAAAGGACATGAAAACTGTCGATGAAAAGTAAGAAGCTATTTTTGTATTGCTGATTCCTTTGAGAATTGTAAATTAATTGTATTTTATTAAATAATTGACAAATTTTTGTGGTTGCTGTTGCGGTAAATTGCAAACAGGATATTCTGGCCCACTCTACCTTCCGCATTGGCCATCATGTTAATGATCGCGTTATTTAGATAATTTCGTGCAATGTACAAGATGCAACTCAAGACAGCTACGTCTAGAATTAACAGAACTTTCGTTGTGTGGCTCTTGTTGTCGATTGTATTCGACGTTTCTGACTTGGCACAATGTTGAAGCAAGTTTATTACTTGGCACACCGACTGCTGGATTTATGACGTACGACTGTGATGTATGGCCGAGGTATATATTTTTTTGCAAGTTATTCATTGTTAAAATTTGACTGATTTATAACAAATTTCGGTGCGACGTGTTTGACAGTTTTTCTACTACAGTTTTCAGATACCGTACAGTATAATATCAACTCTATAAAAACTAAAGGAAGATAAATTGCAAATTTCTTATGTTCTTTGTTAAAAATATATAATATAGCAGTTTGCGACTCAAGGCTTTTAATGCTTTTAATATAGTCCTTGAGGCATAAAATTCTGCGCAGTGTTTTTAATTAAACGCTGAAGTGTTTAACGCCCAGAATGCCTTATTTAGTATTTTTAATTAAACACAAGACCGTTAATATAAAATATAAAGAATGCTAGTTTCCAGCTGAAGCTTCGAAAATTGAAAATTTATGTTTCAAACAGCAAATTGTTTGAGTAAGACTGTGTATTATTAAGTATTTTTTATGTTCCTCCGTTCTTTAAATCATTGTTAAGTACAATCAACGAGCACTTCGTATGTCTTATCAGGCATGTCTACGGGCGCTCCGAGGAGCAGCTAAGAGCGTGTAACGTTCCGAGAGTCGTTTGTACGTGACGATCGCTATACATATGTACAACGAGTCGACGTGCAACTGCTGGCTTCGGAAACCACCTTGTAATTTGTAACTGCGATTTCGCGGATCGGATTTCTTACAATCGCTTATCATTCGAGTATGTATAAAAGTGAATAGTAAACTATGCGAGCGAGACGACAATAAAGTGACTTCCTTATTATTAGATACTTGACACTATTTTAGAGCTCTCCATTGATTTCCGGGATTCCATTTTCAAGACAGCAGTTTTTACACGCTTCTCTTATGTCTTATACCTTTCACAATATTACGCTTGACCCAACCGCAGTAGAACGAGTCGTTTTTGGTCAGACACGCGTTCGACGCAATCTGGCCAGCATAGTTAACTGAATCCTGTCTCTTCCCTCTAATCGTCTCGATCGCTCGTCATTATACCTCTCATTATATCGCGTTTATCACACCCCTCGGGGTGTTCGTAATTACGTGTGTATAGGTACGTTGTGCTTACACACGTGTAAGGTGCGATACGTTTTTGCGAGATCATGCACACGTGTGTGTTGGCGCACCTGGATCCGATTATAGGCATGACTTAATGCACGCAGCATTAGGTTTATTGGCCCGTTGTTTGGGGGTGTGGTCCGGTGTGGACTATTTCTCTGTCCCAGGGAACCGATCTCTTTGACCCCAGGCATACATAAGAAGGATTTTATGTGATAAATGTTCTTGCATTTTTTATTCCACCCTATGTGTACTTAGCTAACCTACGTGTCTCGGTTTACTTAGTAATGGCAAGGCGTGGAATGAAAATTGCCCGGGTACAGTAGGTGAAGTCGCGTCGATAGTCGGACAGACGTGTTCGTAACATGAACGAACGGTATCAATTCCATAGAGGAAGAATTTATAAATTCTCGTTAAGCCTCCTTAATACGATTGCTGTGGATACTGTTCGCGATCATATGAATGAAGACTTTTCTTTTATATTTCAACATGATCGATATATTAATTAATAAAACATGAGACAAGATGAACATGTGTGTGTGACGATACACGCGATAATTATTTGTTGGAAATTAGAGCAGAAGAACGTCCCGAATCGGGTCTCAATTCATATTTTAAAGCGGTTTTAGGGAAACATTGCACAGTTGAATGGCCGGTATTACAGAGTACAGAATATAGTACGTACCTTTTATTTTGCCTCTTTGTATCCATCGTATTGTCAGAACTCCGCACGCTATTCGTATCCATGTCACGCGGCATTAGAATAGAAAAGAATTTGCCATCTTGCTTATTCAACGTTGTATCATCACAATTCCTTATTCGTTCCTCTTGGTTCTATCGTAATCACTCGAATTCGTCTCTCAAGGATTTTCTCCTTGCCGCTTTTGTCGTCGTTCTCATCGATACGACTTATAATGCCTCTCGTCATGCTTCCCTACTCCCGCCTGAAGTTTATTCATCCCTTATTTACTCCGGTTATTTATAGGAACGTTTTATCCTCCAATGCAGGTTGCCCGCAATAATTAAAATTCCGCCGTCTCTTTTTAAATCTACGAATTTCGTTCTTTCGTCCGGTGTGTATTTAATACCAGCTGGGACAAAAAAACGCACTCACCCCGCCAACCTTATGTTTCGATCATTTTTTTTTCTCTTTCTTTATCATCGTCCCTTTTCTACCGCATTGCTTTTTGTCCTTCACCTCATTCTCCCCGTTCCTTAATCCACACCTATTCTTACGTCTCGTACTTCCTCTTGCTGTCCCCCTTCAACGCTCGGTATCCACCACTCGTTGCTCCTTCTTCTATCCGCAGCCTCATTCCATCTCCGTCTCTCTGACATATTCTCTGTCCGATTTACTCGCTTCTTCCGACGTTCTCCAGCTTCCTCTTTCATCCCCCACGAACCGTATTTCCTCCCTCGTTCAACTTACGAGCTCTAACTGGACCCTTTTCTTTGCTCTCACCCGTGTTCTCCTTCCAACCTAGTCTCGCTCTTAGGCCCGCTTTCGTGTTTGCCTCTCTGTTGAGCCTACACCCCCAGAGCGGTGGATCTCGCCGACCAGCCTACTTCTCTTTCACCCCCTTTCGCGGCCGGGTGCTGCGGATGTCTCTGTTCAATCAGCGCCCTCTTTCATCCCCTACCGTGGACTGTCGTCGTCTCTTTTCGATATAGCCGTCGCGCCGCATCTACTGGTCCTGCGCGATGGGGGATGCTGCGAGATAATCGTTCCCCCTTCAGCCCGCGAGCAACCGACCCGTTTCGGCCGTCCCCGTGCCGAGGGAAGCAGTAGTAAGAGCCAGGCCACCGCCATAGCCGCTCCCCGGGCAACGAAGGAGGAGAAACCGGCGTACCATTCTCTTTTTCCTTTTTTCCTTTCTCTTTTTCTATCTTTCTCTCTCTTGATTCCGCCGAAGCGGCGTTACGCGTTCCACGGGGTGACGTTCTAACCTGTACCAACCAACCCTTAACGAAACGGTGGCTGCCCGCTCGGTTTCCGGCAGCGCCGTTTCGAAACGCCGAACGAGGGACAGCCGTCAGTGGATCATGTGACGCGTACACCACTCGACGGGTTCTCGTGTCTACTCGTTCGACCCGCGTGTTAACCAGCGATGACAACGGGCGAACGGTGTTGCTGACGACGCGACGTCGCGACCCTTCGTCTTCGATTCGTCGCTCGCTGCGTGGAACGTGGACGACGCGACGGCCGGTGGACGCCGATGCCAGGGGTTTAACCTCGTTTCCGTGGCATCTCAGGGCCCTGCGGGATATCACGTTTGGCTCGTGCGATGTTCAAACTCCTGGCTAAGGGACTCCTCGATTCGTTTCAACCCCGGTGATCGCGGGGCTCGCTCGAAGAGGCGGACGCGAGTTCACACGACGATACCGGTTCATCCCGTCCGCGGTCTCGACCGGTCGAACGCGATGATAATCGGTTAACGAGACGCTGAACGACTCGAAGCGGTGAATGTGGACCGCGATGGTGATCAATTATCGCTGCCGAATATGAGTTACTGTGTAAGGTGATTTAAATCTATCCGGGATTAGTGCCGGTCGTCCTGGGTGCGAGACCGTTTCAAATCGTCGTTTGGCAGATTAACGAGCTTTGTCGCAGTTTGAAAACAGTGACCCTGAGTGGAGACAAGCCGCGCCGACGTTGCTGTTGTCAACTGATCTCTCTTTTTTTTTTTTAGCGTGGGACGTCGTCGACGTGTTGCGGTTAGGCCGTCGTGTTGCAGCGGCTTGAAGAGGATTTAACGCGTGAATGAATGGAAAGGATGTCGTAAATACTGTCCTCGGTGAGGAACAGCGATGGAGTGCACACGTGTTGCTCGAATATAAAACAGTCAATTTATATGGGGGCCGCTGTTTCACGGTCTCCGTTTGTTCGGTCAAAAAGTTACGCGAAATTGTGCAACGTGCGAATCGATATAATTTCCGGGGGACGTTTTGAGCGATCGGGATCCGCGTCTCGGTGGTGTCGGCGTCAGGTACGTGTTTCGTGTGCCATTGGATGACCTTAACCTTTCGCATTTGAGGAAAAAAGAACTAGTCAAGGGATTTGACGTCGGTTAACCACCGCGGAGGAGTGAAAGTTCCAGAAAGAATTCCCCAACCCGACGGATCTAATTGAACTATTCTCTGATCCTCTCTCTCCTCTCACCCGCGGGCGAGAATTCTCATAAGTAAATAAGAAACCGAACGACCACAGCATTTTTCTACCGCGATTTCCATCAGGCACGCCATGCGATTTCATCGATCGACAAATCGTAATGCAATTATCAAGTGTCTTTTAAGCGCTAAGTATCTACCATCGACATCGAACGAGTCTTTTTAATAAGAAGAACGCAATAAGAAAGACCGTGGAAACCCATAACTACGTACAATCACTAAGCTCTTTTAATATTGTACATAGCGTCATTCACCAGCTTCCAAATACTCGCAAACGATAAGAACAGATGTATCGAAATTTTTGAGTAGATAAGAGAAAATACTTCTTGCTAATTCATAACGGACACGTGAACATTAGCCGGCAGGCGCGAGAGCACGGAATTCACCTTAAGCCGCGGGATCGCAGTGCTCGCGCCGAAAGCCGCATCCTCCGATCGAGCCTTCGCTCGGAGATTGTCCATCGGTTTCCCATATCGAGGAAGTACCCGTTAGATCCTCGAAGAGGTCGAATCGAGAGTAAATTCAACTGGTTGCAAGATAACACACGGCACGGGAGGCCAGCCGGGGTAAAGTGCGAGGAAGTGTATCTTCGCTTCTGTTCCTTTGAGGATCGCGATGTGAGTGTGTCGGATCGGATCGGTCTCGCGTGTTCGCCGAGAATAAGGATATAAGCAAATACGTACACGCACACACTTTCATCCCGCGAGTGACGAGGTGTCGTCGCTCGTAGAAGCCGGCGTCGCGTCGCGTACCATCACGTCGATTCGTCTCGATGATCGATCGACGACGCAGTCTCCGTGTTACTCTGGATCGATTTCACGGGGGTTGCATCCGATGCGGAGGGGCTTGCTCGCCTTTCGACCGTCCGCGTCCGTCCGATATTTCGGCGAGTGCCGCGCAGCGGGATGAACAGCGCTAGCAACAGCAACGTGCTCGAACGTCAGTGTGGGTACGTATCACGGCCATTCATACTTACATAGAACATACGTATACATATACATGGTATACGCGTGTGTACAGTCTCGCTTGTCGGTGTCCGTTCGTCTATGAACGCGAACACGTGCATGTTTGCGCGTGTGCGGCTATGAGAGGTGAGCGCCCACGGCAGGATCGTTACATACTTATTGTTAGTGGCTTGCTACGGGCGCCGAACTGCCATCAGAGGGGCTTAATTCAAGGACATTGCTATACCGCTATATAACTATGTTCCTATTAAATAGAATTAATTCTTTCTGTATAGGATTCGCGCGCAAACACTCCTTCCCTTTTATTACCGCGTTATTGGCCTCCCTTTCGGTGAAATAGCTCTCTACATTCTAATTTTAATTAATCTTTTTTTATAAAATTCGATTGGATACTAGTTGTAATTACTACTTCAAAAAAAAGCTTGAATTATACTTTTTATTATATCTATTAATTGTTACCGTCAATTTGATTAAAATACAGAGTAACACATGGGAAAAAATGTTTATACCTGGAAATTGCTCGTTAAATCATGTGGACGTGTTTAACGGATTCGAAACGAACGGGAAGGGTATTATTTAAACGATGACAAAAATGTTTGAAATATTACGAGGGTGCACGGGGTGCTGTAATCGTGGTGCAACGCACGCGCCCGTTATTCGCACAATGGGTTTACAGAAAATGATTTAAACGGCTATTCACACTTGAGTATATTTAAGCGATATTCGTTTAATGAAAATTTTGATCGGTTACGGGCAGCAGTGTACGTGCGAGCGAGCATGCTTCAACGAATATCTCATCGTCCGTGTCGCGGAAGCAGCCGATAATTTCGTTGCTACCGTGAAGGTACAATTAAACAAACGAGATTGTAATACAAACGTAATCAATTTATCGTTTATTTTACAGCGAACGCGTTAACGGTTATATAACATCTACATACGAACCAATGAACGTCACACGTCGATTCAATAACGAAACGAATATAAAATATTTTTACTAATCGCGGTTTATCATTATCTCTTGAATTATTTGATCATTTAATGGTATGACGGTAGAGTTTCATGTTGTTTCATATTAGTATCTCTCCTTTCCTTTCATACATCGCACTTAATAGAATCTCGGTAAAACGGGGATACTATCTTAATGAGACGAGCAGTGGATGGGAAACGAGTCGGATTAAATTTATGAGCACATAGTAAACATAAATGGGACGAAGAGCGATGGGAAAGGCGAGTTTTCGCCCATATGCGCGGGACGTTTATGCGGCAATAGTATATTTGATATACGCGTGAAAGAAACATAAAAACGGACTCGGTTTTAGTATTATGGGATTTAAGGAAGAAGTCCTAAGTGGCTGAAAACGACGTTTACTACGCCTAGCTTGCGTTAGTATATTTCTTGGTGAATCAATTCTATGAGGAAGACCCTTCTCCTATATTCCTATCTCCGAAATTCTATAATCTAATCGTCGCATGTAAGACGTTCCTTTTAATGCAATTCCGCATAGACGTCTCGATAAAATAGGGGATCGAACGTGCCCGTAAAGTGAAATGATGTGGCTTGTTAATCTCGCATAGAGCGCGACATACGGAATCGATGATCCAGCCGGAAGGAAATCCGACCGGCGCGCGGCGCACCGGCACGGTCCCGGAAGCTCTCGTTCTGAAACTTGTTCTTCCCCACTCTCCTCCTCGTCGTTCTTCTCCTCGCGGTCGCATTTCATCCGTGAAGAATCGCGAGATTACCGTTTCTGGATCGTTTATTGCGAGAGATCTGAAACTATTGCACGTCGACGGTGAACGTCTCGATGGAACGTGGCAAACGACGCGATAAAAATTTAGTCAAATTTATTGGGAGTAATCGCGTGCATCCGGAAAGATATGGATAGATTGTAGTTGGGATTGGAGAGCGCTGACGCGGTCGAAAAAGTGTTCATTACTCAGCGAATCGACTCTCGTCGTGGGACAAAAAATGATTAATTACTCGAGCAGTTAGCGGCCGAGAAATGTCCTATCTTCGATTTTTTTCAACGTCTAATAAATTGTGACCCTGTTCATTATGAAAAAGATCGTTTTGGACAGATATAACTTGATATTTCTTTAAATTAATGTGATTCAATATAAATTCGCATCCCTCCATATGATTATAAAAAAAGTCTGAAAATTGACACGGTATGGTTGAACGGCAGGACATGATGTCTTATTTTCGCAGTTTACTTTCGCACATCTCGGAATTGATTTTGAATCCCCAGTGCACGTAGGTTCTATTCAATGTACTATTCCTAGAATGAATATACGGATCTCCCAAACAGCATTCGCGACGCATGGGAGTCCTTAGCGGATTCTGTCGAAGAGTATAAAGTCGTGCGGGTACATCCGGTTTCAAGGGAACGGATGAGATTGCTGAGGCAAATCGTCTCGCAATCAGAACGAAACAACGTTACGCGTGGTGATAGCGCGTGCAGAAGGAAAGGCCGCAGCCACGTTTCGTAAATCTCGATCGAGGATTCGCGGATCGAACGCTGGCTCGACTCGAACGAATGGCTGCCGCACTGCGAAAAAGCGGTATATATCATTTCGTCGCGCGGACGAGATCGGTGACTGGTTGATTTATCGCGTCGCCGGATGATGCATAAATTTTGCGATGTTCTGATAGAAAGATAAAATGAAAAGAGGAATGGCACAGAAACAGGAGAGAGAGAGAGAGAGAGAGAGGAAGTGCATTAACCTATCTACGTTTCTCCATTGGGAGTCGTTAAATCGTATCGTCAAGCTGAAAATGGTTAAATATCTAATTGGAAAGCAATTAGGAAACTAATTCGATCGAACGTAATGCGGATGAAACTAGATTGATTTATTTTAACAATAGATTCGAGTAATTTTTAATTAATTCCTTGGAACGCGGAGACCTTTTTGAGGGGAATTAGCGTAGGCCGACGATACGTAATCGAATTTCATGGTACGCTTAAACGAGCTCCGATCCTTCCCACGGAAGCTTGCAACGTTTTAATGTCACTTCACAGCATATTATGTAATATCCCGCGTGCTTGGCTTGCACGCGAGTCCACCTATTACGATATAGTTTCGAGTAATCATTAAAAACTTATTAAGCCTGTAATCTCTTCGGACGGTTTAATTTTCTCATTAACTAAAACGCGATTTTACACGCGCGCGTAACGACGCACCGTTACGTCCGTCGTGCTCGTAAAGAACACGCAACTTTTGTATTATCCGGCTACGACCGGGATCGAGCACCTCGATGAAAAACCCATTTAATGTCGGCTAATTTTGCGTAAGAGCTCCCATCAGGTTCGGAAACTTTCCACGGATTTTACAAGCTTAATGCTACGCTTGATTGCCACCGTCGAGCATCAACTCTCCCGAACACTTGAATCAATTATCGTTTAAACCTCCGAGCAAAGTTTAAAGTAGCATGGACATTATTGTCAGCAAAAATACATAAGTCTCCTGAGAACTGCAGCATAAACGGGAATGTTCGTTAACTGCATTTTCAAAAACATCTTCTATGCAACATAAGTGCAGACATCTCAGTATACAGACTCTGTATTTATACTACGATCCTTGGTCGAGCGGAAGCGGTGGCTTTTGATTTTAAAACGAAACCACCTTTTTTCCTCGTGTTACGGGAGATTATTCAAATGACGAAAAATTCCGGAAACGGCAACGCGGACTCTGGTAACAGAGCAAACGCTGCGTTGGCTTTTGTTACGGAACTGTTTTCTCGTAAAGTGTGGTTAGAGAGGAAGAGTAACGAGAGACCTGGCGACAGCGTGTAGGCTCCTGCTGGAAAATCACAGAAAAACCGTTTCAATGCAAACGTGGACGAGGAATCGGTTTGAATTTAATGGAGTGTACTGGCACTTGCTCTGCCCGGCGCTGTTTCGTAACGCCGCACACTACCGCTCCACTCCGCTCCGCGCCGTGTTCCATATTTTTTTAAGCGCAAACGTATCCGCCGATGTGGACCGGTTAAAAAATATTACTCGGGGCAACAAGTTTCTCGAACGGATTTAATGCGGACGAACCGGGCCGTAATCTTTAGACAGCGTTTAACGGGACTTACGTGATCGCATTAATTCATTAAGTTCCAAGCGCCGTTTAATCTACAGTTTTTCTCAGTTAACTTACATACTTGAATTATGCTTCTTAATATCGTGGTCGCGGGAAGAATAGCCTGAGGGCTCGCTCAATAATTCTTCTGATGTCATTCCCTCCTTTCATAAAGACCCTTTAAAATTTCAAGAAATTGAAATATCCATGTAAATTTTTTTCCACTTACTCTCATAAAGAACAAGAGTTTCCTAATTTCACTTTTACCTGCATTTAGATTTATCCTTGTACTTGATTCATAACCAGCTTCTTTACTTCTCGTACCGTTATTCCCAAAATCTCCTACTTATGATCCTTAATCAAACGCAACGCTCTTTTTCCACGCTACTCATGAACACTTTACCCCACGTTTTTAAAAACCAGTTATTTATCGTCGTTACTTGTTGCTGCGCACGTTTCATTTTTAATCTCTAAAAAATTCGCAAGCTACTTGTGCCATGGAAGCAGCCACTTAACATGATGAAAAATTGTCTGCTCCCCTTCGTTATTTTTTTCTCTCTATCAAAAAAAAAAGGAGGGAAAAATATAACGATACTTGATCCATTGGTCCGCAACGCGCATTCAATTTAAGTGTTCTGTGAAACATCAAGTTCCACTCTTTTCACGATAAATTACTTGGGATCGAGTAGCTACTAATTTAAAGATCCCTTTTGTTCAGTCGTGTTGCAACTTCATTCCGTTCCCTCCTTCTTGTCTGCTCTCATCTGTGTCTGTGCGCCTTTCATCGCCTGTTTTCTTCCTCAGTTACCGCATGTATGTATGTATGTATCCGTATCTCACGGTTTTCCTTCCATCTTTCCTTCCTTCTTTCGTCTTGCGAGTAGTTGATTAATTATTGAGCTCGGTGTAGATCACT